AGTGGTTGTATCCTCTGTTGTAAAACCAGTTACTGTAGCATCGGTTGTATCCTCTGTTATTAAGCCAGTTACTGTAGCATCAGTTGTATCCTCTGTTGTAAAGCCAGTTATTGTAACATCGGTTGTATCCTCTGTTGTAAAACCAGTTACAGTAGCATCAGTTGTATCCTCTGTTATTAAGCCAGTTACTGTAGCATCGGTCATATCCTCTGTTGTTAAGCCAGTTACTGTAGCATCAGTTGTATCCTCTGTTGTAAACCCAGTTACTATAGCACTGGTTGTATCCTCTGTTGTAAAACCAGTTACTGTACCAGTGATATCCTCTGTTGTAAACCCAGTTACTGTTGCATCGGTTGTATCCTCTGTTGTAAAGCCAGTTACTGTTGCATCAGTTGTATCTTCTGTTGTAAAGCCAGTTACTGTAGCATCGGTCATATACTCTGTTTTAAAGCCAGTTATCGTAGCAGTGATTTTATCCTCTGGTGTAAAGCCAGTTTCTGTACCAGTGGTTGTATCCATCGTTGTAAAGCCAGTTTCCGTACCAATGGTTGTATCGTCTGTTGCAAAGCCAGTTACTGTAGCATCTGTTATATCCTCTGTTCTAAAGCCAGTTACTGTAACATCAGTTGTATCCTCTGTTGTAAAACCAGTTACTGTAGCATCGGTCATATCCTCTGTTGTAAAGCGTGCTACCGTGCCAGTATTTTTATCCTCTGTTGTAAAGCCAGTTTCTGTACCAGTGGTTATATCCATCGTTGTAAAGCCAGTTTCCGTACCTGTATCCTCTGTTGTAAAACCAATTACTATAGCATCGGTTGTATCCTCTATTGTAAAACCAGTTACTGTTGTATTAGTTGTTTCCTCTGTTATTGTACCAGTTTTTGTAGCATCAGTTGTATCCTCTGGTATATAACCAATTCTTGTAGTATCTGTTGAAAAAACTGTTATTGTAGCATCAGTTGTATCTGTTACAAAACCAGTTACTGTAGCATCTGTTGTATCGCCTGATGTATAACCAATTATTGTTGTATCAGTTACATAATTTGTTGCAAAACCAGTAATTGTATGATGTATTGTAGGATTGGGTGCATCATCTGTTATTGTAACAATTATTGTAGCATCTGATGTAGAATCAGCCATCGGTATTTTGTCTGTGGTGGTAGGAACAGTTGTACGAATTGGAACAGTTGTTGGAATAGTATCGACATCTGTAGCAGTTGTGGCCACATTTGCAGGACCAGTTGTATCAGTAGGTGCAAGACTAGTTGTAGTATCAGATTCATCAGGTGCATCAGTCTCATCTGAGGAAAGAAAAAGATTGCAACTCTCTCTCTCTCTCTCTCTCCTCCCTATTTCTGTGTCTCTCTTCTCTTTCTCTCTCTATCACTCTCCCTTTTCCTCTCCTCCCCTCTCCCTCTCTCTCTCTCTTTCCCTCCCTCTCCCTCTTCATTGGTTAGACACTTATTTATGGTCTGTTTATTTATAGCTTAATTCTTGACAGTTGGCAATCCCCGTTTGTAACACTCTATCTATATTGACATTACCTAACAGTTATTGTATTGTAGGCTGGGTGTCTCCTATTACTCTTGATGGTATGCTCAGATAATGGAAAAAAAATGCGTACATTTCTTACCTTCAGTAACAAGTGGTTCCAGATAAATTGTAGTAGCACCATATTCCATCAACTGTTGATTCACAGAAGTAATCCCATTTCGGATTTCCTGTCGTTCAATATACACCCAGGTTTTTGCATCATCTATACTGTCTGTCACTTCACTTGCAGAAGATTTTACACTTTCAGTTAATATATCCTCATCGTCAGATACCTGTTCTAGTAGAGCATCAATGGTTGTTTTTAATGCATCAATAGCAGCTTTTTGTACATCTATTTCACTAGCAGTTCCATCCTCTATAATATCGTCAAGACTAACTATTAAACTCTTAAATGTAGTTAGAGCATCCTTCATATCGGAATTTACGCTGGCTGTTGTTTCAGCAGCTTCAGTCGTTGTGCTGACTGCTTGTTTTGCGGCGTCTGTTGTTGCAGCTGTAACATCTCCTTTAGTATCAGCATCTGTAGCAGTTGTGGCCACATTTGCAGGACCAGTTGTATCACTCTCTCTTTCCCTCCCTCTCCCTCTTCATTGGTTAGACACTTATTTATGGTCTGTTTATTTATAGCTTAATTCTTGACAGTTGGCAATCCCCGTTTGTAACACTCTATCTATATTGACATTACCTAACAGTTATTGTATTGTAGGCTGGGTGTCTCCTATTACTCTTGATGGTATGCTCAGATAATGGAAAAAATACCATGTTTATCCTTCATCAACTAAAACATCACAATCAAGTTATTTAAGAAAAGGCTTTCACCTTTTGCACTATTTCATCTAACCTTTTTAATTTTTTATTCTACAATTAACTAAGGAAAAGCTGTTTTTCTCTTAATTTGAATTTGTACAAAGAGCAATCTAATTGTAGATGTAACTATTTAGGTATAGCAGTTGTAAATTCAAGCATAAAGCCATCATATTATGGACAGGTTTATATGCAATATGAAACAAACCGAAGAGTTATAATTAAATCCAAGGAAATGTCTACCAACCTATCCACCCCCCCCCCCCCATCTAAGGTTTACTGTCCTTGCAAGTTTTGTTTATAAATACTTAAGTATCAAGATAGACTATCGCTTTTATATGTGTATGTATGAATAAACATACACTTATACAAAAACATACAGTCGTGGATATAGTAGTCCCCCAGCAATGCCCTCTTCACCTGGACTATGGTAGTTGTGGAGTAGAATAGATAATAGAATTATTACACACCTGCATTTATATGGCAGCTTATATATATATATTTTTTTTTTCTGCCTGATAGCTGTCAGTTATGCAAAACATGTCAACGGACCCATCTTCAGAAAAATGGGACCTTGTTCTGTATATGTCCTCCCATCTGATGTTAAGGGCATTGCTAGTGGGAAAGGTGATAAATCCACAGATGTACGTGAGTTCTCTTTGTTGACAAATGCGTACATTTCTTACCTTCAGTAACAAGTGGTTCCAGATAAATTGTAGTAGCACCATATTCCATCAACTGTTGATTCACAGAAGTAATCCCATTTCGGATTTCCTGTCGTTCAATATACACCCAGGTTTTTGCATCATCTATACTGTCTGTCACTTCACTTGCAGAAGATTTTACACTTTCAGTTAATATATCCTCATCGTCAGATACCTGTTCTAGTAGAGCATCAATGGTTGTTTTTAATGCATCAATAGCAGCTTTTTGTACATCTATTTCACTAGCAGTTCCATCCTCTATAATATCGTCAAGACTAACTATTAAACTCTTAAATGTAGTTAGAGCATCCTTCATATCGGAATTTACGCTGGCTGTTGTTTCAGCAGCTTCAGTCGTTGTGCTGACTGCTTGTTTTGCGGCGTCTGTTGTTGCAGCTGTAACATCTCCTTTAGTATCAGCATCTGTAGCAGTGACTTGTGCAGCTGCAGTAATTGTTTTAGTTGTGTCTGCTGTATTTGTGACGTCTGTTACCGTTGCAGTGTCTGTTCTGATTGGTATAGTTATGGTTTCTCCATTAGTTGTTATTGTAGTACCTACTTTGTTTGCGGCGTCCGCCGTGATTGCAGTGTCTGTTGTGATTATCGTGTCTGCTATGGTTGATGTGTCTACAGTTGCAGTGTCAAGTGCGAGTGTAGTGTCTGCTATGGTTGTAGTTCCTGATAAAATTGTAGCGTCTCCCGTAGCTGTAGAGTCTGCCTTGACTGTGGTTTCTCCAGTAGCTGTAGTGTCTGTTACATCTGTAGCACCAATTACAATCGTAGTGTCTGCTATACTTGTAGTGTCTGTTACAGTTGCAGTATGTGCTATAGTTATAGTGTCTCCTACAACTGTAGTGTCTGCTACAATTGTGGTGTCTGCTACAGTTGTGTCTGCAACGGTTGTAGTTGTGTAGCTGGTTGCAGTGTCTGTTGTGATTATCGCGTCTGCTATGGTTGATGTGTCTACAGTTGCAGTGTCAAGTGTGAGTGTAGTGTCTGCTATGGTTGTAGTTCCTGATAAAATTGTAGTGTCTCCCGTAGCTGTAGTGTCTGCCTTGGCTGTGGTTTCTCCTGTAGCTGTAGTGTCTGTTACATCTGTAGTGCCAATTACAATCGTAGTGTCTGCTATACTTGTAGTGTCTGTTACAGTTGCAGTATGTGCTACAGTCGTGGTGTCTGCTACAGTTGTGGTGTCTGCAACGGTGGTGGTGTCTGCCACAGTTGTGGTGTCTGCAACGGTGGTGGTGTCTGCAACGGTGGTAGTGTCTGCCACAGTTGTGGTGTCTGCTACAGTTGTAGTGTCTGCAACGGTGGTGGTGTCTACCACAGTTGTGGTGTCTGCTACAGTTGTAGTGTCTGCAACGGTGGTGGTGTCTGCCACAGTTGTGGTGTCTGCAACGGTAGTGGTGTCTGCAACGGTGGTGGTGTCTGCTACAGTTGTAGTGTCTGCAACGGTGGTGGTGTCTACCACAGTTGTGGTGTCTGCTACAGTTGTAGTGTCTGCAACGGTGGTGGTGTCTGCCACAGTTGTGGTGTCTGCAACGGTGGTGGTGTCTGCCACAGTTGTGGTGTCTGCAACGGTAGTGGTGTCTGCAACGGTAGTGGTGTCTGCAACGGTGGTGGTGTCTGCCACAGTTGTGGTGTCTGCAACGGTAGTGGTGTCTGCAACGGTGGTGGTGCCTGCCACAGTTGTGGTGTCTGCTACAGTTGTAGTGTCTGCAACGGTGGTGGTGTCTGCCACAGTTGTGGTGTCTGCAACGGTGGTGGTAGCTGCTACAGTTGTGGTGTCTGCCACAGTTGTGGTGTCGGCAACGGTGGTGGTGTCTGTTGGACCAGCACCTGCCTCTCGCTTTCTTCTTCTTCTGCTACTGCCAGAAACACTATTCAGAGAATCCTTTGCATCGTCAAGTGAATTGCCGAGATTATCCAGAGATTCATCCTTGGTAGTCAGAGCCAAAAGCTGACTTCGTAATGCTGTAACTTGGTTCTGAGTAGTGGGTTCTGCTGTAGTAGTAGTAGGAGCTGGAGTAGTGGTGGGAGCTGGCGTAGTTGTTGGAACTGGAGTTGTGGTGGGAGCTGGAGTTGTGGTGGGAGCTGGCGTAGTTGTTGGAGCTGGAGTTGTGGTGGGAGCTGGAGTAGTAGTGGTGGGAGGTGCTGTAGTAGTGGGGGGTGGAGTAGTTGTTGGAGCTGGAGTTGTGGTGGGAGGAGCTGTAGTAGTGGGGGGTGGAGTAGTTGTTGGAGCTGGAGTTGTGGTGGGAGGTGCTGTAGTAGTGGGGGGTGGAGTAGTTGTTGGAGCTGGAGTAGTGGTGGGAGGTGCTGTAGTAGTGGGGGGTGGAGTAGTTGTTGGAGCTGGAGTAGTGGTGGGAGGTGCTGTAGTAGTGGGGGGTGGAGTAGTTGTTGGAGCTGGAGTAGTGGTGGGAGGTGCTGTAGTAGTGGGGGGTGGAGTAGTTGTTAGAGCTGGAGTAGTGGTGGGAGGTGGAGTAGTTGTTGGAGCTGGAGTTGTGGTGGGAGTTGGAGTAGTAGTGGTGGGAGATGCTGTAGTAGTGGGGAGTGGAGTAGTTGTTGGTGCTGGAGTTGTGGTAGGAGCTGGAGTAGTTGTGGTGGGAGCTGCTGTAGTAGTTGGGCCTGGAGTAGTGGTAGGAGCTGCTGTAGTCGTAGGGGCTGGGGAAGTTGTTGGAGCTGGAGTAGAGCTGGGAACTCCTGTAGTAGATGGAGCTGGAGTAGTAACAGGATTGGTAGGTGTTTGCCCAGATGTCGTTCCAGGCGGCGTCGTTCCTGGTCCTGGTGGGGTCGTTCCTGGTCCGGGCGGCGTCGTTCCTGGTCCGGGCGGCGTCGTTCCTGGTCCTGGCGGGGTCGTTCCTGGTCCTGGCGGCGTCGTTCCTGGTCCTGGCGGCGTCGTTCCTGGTCCGGGCGGCGTCGTTCCTGGTCCGGGCGGCGTCGTTCCTGGTCCTGGCGGGGTCGTTCCTGGTTCGGGCGGCGTCGTTCCTGGTCCTGGTGGCGTCGTTCCTGGTCCTGGCGGAGTCGTTCCTGGTCCGGGCGGGGTCGTTCCTGGTCCGGGCGGCGTCGTTCCTGGTCCTGGCGGGGTCGTTCCTGGTCCGGGCGGCGTTGTTCCTGGTCCGGGCGGGGTCGTTCCTGGTCCTGGTGGCGTCGTTCCTGGTCCTGGCGGGGTCGTTCCTGGTCCGGGCGGCGTCGTTCCTGGTCCTGGCGGGGTCGTTCCTGGTCCGGGCGGCGTCGTTCCTGGTCCGGGCGGGGTCGTTCCTGGCCCTGGTGGTGTCGTTCCTGGTCCTGGTGGTGTCGTTCCTGGTCCTGGTGGCGTCGTTCCTGGTCCTGGCGGGGTCGTTCCTGGTCCGGGCGGGGTCGTCCCTGGTCCGGGCGGCGTCGTTCCTGGTCCAGGCGTCGTCGTTCCTTGGCTTGGCTCAGTTGTTTCTGGTATGGGCGTAGTCGTAGGTGTTGGCTGTTTTTCTTTTAAAGAGAAGGAAAATATATTACTAATTTAGATTTCTGTTTGTTTGTTTCTTATACCATGTAAGACTTTATCTTGTCAAGATTATCAATATGTGACTGACGATATTGCAAAAGATTATGGCAGATTAGGATTGCTAAAACAGAACGTGTTAATTAGAGCAGTGAAGCTAGAAGAAAATTACTCACTTTTTATACAGCAGACTTTGGGTTCTTTGCATGGCTTCTTTACTGTGACAATTTTACCGTTGCATTTTTCTTTTTTACGACATTTACCACCTCGATCCTTACACTTGCTGATCGAGCAGCATACCTTATCATTCTTACATTTCTTGCCAGGTTTTAAGACCTTTCCTTTACAATTAGAGGCCTTTTTGCACTTTCCACCCAGTGAATTACAGGTCTGTATCTTTGTACAACAGACTTTGCTACCCTTGCATTTTTTTGTAGGATTAAGTATTTTTTCGGTGCATTTAGATTCGACACGACATGTTCCACCCAATCCATTACATGTAGATTTCCTTTTGCAGCACACTTTCCCACCTTTGCATTTTTTTGCAGGGTTTAACGTATTCCCTTTGCATTTAGACTCCAGGCGACATTTCCCACCTTTCCCTTGACAAGTGGACATGCAGCAAAGTTTGCCTTCTTTACAGCCTTTAATGTCTTTAACGATTCCATTGCATTTATTTCGACATTTGTAGCCCTTTTCTCGACATTGGTTAGTTGTTTTACAACATATCTTATCAGTGTCTTTGCAGACCGCATCAGAAATTACATCACTGCATTTCTTTGTTGATTTTATACATCTACCCCCACTTTCCTTGCATTTTTTTTCGGAGTTTTGCCTTGCTTCTATGTTAGAAACCCTTCTTTTGCAACATTTCTTATTTTTTCTACAGATTCCCTCCTTTATGATGCCAGCAGAACATTCCTTTTTGCATATACCACCCTGGATGTGGCATGTCTCTGTTATTATGCTTTTTCCATCCTTTTTGCTATTTGTATTTAGCTTTCCATGCCTTGAATTTTGTTTTCCCTTTTTACCATTGCCTTGTCTTCGGTTCCCCTTCTGTTTTTCTTTGGTAGATTCCTCAGTCCCCTGTTTTTCATATTTCCCCCCTTTCTTGGATTTGTTTTTTTGTGTGTCTTTTCCATGAGATTTCTTGTTACTGCTCTTTTCAGGTCTCCCCCCTTTCTCTGCTTTAGATCTTTTACGGTCACTTTTTTCGCGGTTTTGTCTTTCATTTTTAGCAGCTTTTCTCATTTCTTTACGCCTTTGCTTTCTGGACTCCCTCCTGTCATTGTTTTTTAACTCTTTAAAACTAGGCTGCTTTGCCTCTCCTTTATTGGCTTTGTTCTTCTGCTCTTTGCCCCCAAGCTTCTTCGAGACAGATTTTTCAGGGTTTGATTTTTCTTTCTCTTTGTTCTCTTCATTGATTTTGGTTCGATCTGCCTTTTTCGTCATCGTTCTCCCTGTAGTATAAACAAGCATATGTTATAATGACAATACAATGCGATTAGAGATCCAAGACTATGGAATCTAATAATAAGAAATATATACTAAGTATTTAAAAATTCAAGTTTGCACAAGAATGTATAAAAGAGAAGATAAAGACAGGATGAGAAGTGATCTGTCTATGCTCAAACTAGTAGTCATGATTCTGCTGGTGTAAAAATGCTTACTGATAAGTGGCCTCTGCTTGCAGCATATTCCCACTAAGCAGTCTTGTTTGCCAAGAGACCTGGTGCATTCCCCTAGTCTACACGAACCACCCATATTTTGACATACACTGCTGCTAACGTCACTCTCCTGTAATAGAAAAGAGGTTAAGTGACTCCCAGGCTGAATCTGTTGTAAAGAGTTGTAAGCAAACACTACAATACTTATCATTTTCGGAAGTTTCAGCGTGCTTCTGCAAAACTTCTGCGTATTTTCTTTATGCTTTATATATTAAGAAATCTAGTAAAACATTTATAGCCTAGAGAAAGAAGTGGATTATTGGGGAAAGGGGCAAGGTTATGTCGGTTCGAAGTATCCTGTTTTCAATGCCAAGGGATTTCGGCCATAGCAGATAACTTAAAAACTTTGCACTAATAGAAACGCCCCTACAAAATTACACAGATATTGTATGCACATTCCATTAGTATACCTTTTGGCCATCATTTTTGCTGAATGCTTACTGTACTATATTCGTAATGAAATAAACTACATTTTCAATGTTTACTCTCAGGTAACAGGTCTGCATTTTTTCCCCATTTTCTTCACTTCAGTACTTGTAAAAGTCTTATTCTATTTTTTTTTTTTTTTTTGCAGTCATATAGGTAGATACATCTATTAATTAAAGTAATTACAAATTGTTGGAACTATTAATTCTATAATTTCTAGCAATCATTTTCTCCGACAATTATTTTGAGGCTGAATAAAAAAAAAAATGTAAAAAGGTTGTACAGGAGGTTTATATTTGATTATATTTTCATTTGAAAAAGGTGTTTCATAGCTATTTACAAAAAGTCTCCACACAGCTAATTTTCACAGCATAGATGTGATATTGCAGGAATGATTAGGTATTAGTTCAAACTCAATAAAATTAATTTGTAATCTATCTTCTGTTCCTTTATTTTGGTGCACAGGAGTATTATTCGTCTTTATCATGGAAAATAGTGAAATTTATTATTTCCCAAGTGCTAATGGTTATAGAGAAACAAAGAAACAAAAAATCCATTGATATTATGGGTCATTCATTTCAATTTTCTCTTACTCTCAGAATTTTACATCATGTCAGTTTAGCCAAATCCAATGTGTTTTTCTAAAAAAAAAATTACTCGTTCTAGTGATTTTATTCTTTCAATGGGTTGCATTCTACCTGTAAATTCTTTAGCTATTATCATAAATTTCATATTAGCTTAATCTAACCTTTTACGCCCGGACCAGGATCGACGCCGCCTGGACCAGGGACTAATAGATGTTCGTCACTGTAATGGCAATATAGGGATATTGGCAGCCCATGTTCTATTACCGTATTGTGACATATTTCATTGGGATTGGAAGGCTTATGTTATTTAAATGTCTTCGGGGATGGAAGAGGTGGCGTCCACCCAGATTGACCACCCAAGGCTTATCCTCAGGCGAGCTATCCGAGTAGGTACTTGGAACATCTGGTCCTTGCGTCAAGACGAGCGGTTACATCTGGTATAGAGGGAACTGAAGTGGTTGGGAGTTGAGTTTGGCTGCTCTCTCGGTGGTGAGAAGACCTGGCAGCGGCACGATCAGTAGAAATTGCCATCTCCAGCCGCCCTCAACCTCGGTAGTTGAGGTAACACCGGTCGATGAGCATATTATAGCATTGAGACTAAAGCATGCATTTGGCTTCATGTCTTTAACGCTTCTACCGATGTTTGCAAACTCGATGGGAAAGAGACGTTCTATGCCAAACTCATATCTGTGGCAGACACTTGCCCCCAGCGAGACATTC